ATCTTGTAAACTAAGTTTAGTTAGTTGACGATTTCAATGAAGCCGACTCTATTCAGATGTCTATGATGCCGTTTAGTTTGTCTTTAGTTTCAAGCAGACTTGATTTAGCCGTCTTTATTTTCTTCCCTACATGATGCAATCGTGCATTGCGCTAGTAGAAGTAAAGTACTCTGCTCATTGTACTGAAGACGATTTACATCTCGACGATTTACGATTTTACATCAACGAGTGGTACATCGTAGACGTATAGCGAAGTACGAAGAATAAGTATCTGAGTGTCCTGATTTCAGTTGTAGCAGATCCGATGGTACTTTGGAACCCGTGACAAGTTCCTTTCCCGCAGCAAGCGAGTTGCTCCGAGCTAATTCCAGAGTCAAGCACAGTCGTCCAGCCAGTTAGGCCTCTCAAACGCCCGTTTTCCCATAGATAGAATTCCGAGCGGAAACTGACCCGTTGCCACACAATATTCTCAGCGGATACTCCCTGAAATTTACGCTTGGCTTGCATATCTGCGCATATCATGATGGTGACGTAAGAAGCAATATGTGCAGTCAGTCAGTAGGGATTGTAGAACTTTTAATGGCGCTTTGTTTCCTTCTGTAATAAAGTATTTTTGTTGCCTACTTACCCTAATTAAGTATCCAACTCTTCACGGCTCAATTCTGACGTCACTCTGGCGGAAGTTTGTTCAGGTATATGGATTGTTTTGTTATTAACATTTCAGTATTCACGATACCAAAGCACAAGACAAATAGTTGAAACTGCATAATTATAGAGAGTAAGATCGAAAATGGTTAAAGTAAACAAATTTCACTGTTGATTATTGTAACCTAATCTCGATATTTAAATAACTTGACGTTTTGAAGTTAGCAAACCACGCAAAGCCAAAACTCCTATCTTTCATTGGATTAAACGAAGAATTATTGCGGCATTCAATTTTGGCAGAAGTGTCAGGACTGAACTAAAGTTATTCAAAACAATGGATTCGTGTTCAATGGCGAACTGAAAGGGACAAGATTCTATTTCGAGGTTTCAATATGAAGAAAATGTTTTCAGGCGCGGACTTTGATGTATCCGTATCAAAGAACAAAAGACTTCAGGAAGTGTTTACAGGTAAGATCGGTGTCGCTCGTTTATTTTTCGTTTAAGTGCTTTTCCGTTTCTTCTCCGAGTCAATAAATATTAGCTTGGTGAGTTAGTGTTCAACCAATTCACAATTCAATTCGAACCAAAAGAACGATTTCAGACACTAACAAAAGAAGCTGAACCTCTGTACGCATTTCCTGATGTGTTAAATTTCGTTTTCTACATGTCAGCCGCGTTTAGCCTCGTTTTTCGTTTCGCTTTTCGTTTGTAAATTGACTACTTTTAGCGAGACTTTTCCTCCCATTCAAAACAAGTTAACCTATAGTTATTTGATACTATTAGAATATAACTAGGACCCTGCGCGCGCTCTGATTGATCAAAAATCCATGTTTTATCAGAGTATAAAACATAGAAAAAGTGTAATTTATAGCTTGTCGTCACATTATCTCAAGTCAACATTTTTGTTAGAGATGGCGGAAAACATTTTCTTTGAATAAATTTGTGATGGAGTTCTCTGCGAAGCAGCAGGAAGTTTTGAAGACGAGGCATGTAGCATTTCAGTGGTATTAAATTGCGTCAGTTTCTCGATCTGTGTCCTTTGTTGTTTCTACTCGCGGCCTTTAAGGTCTATATCACAGTGTTTTATCACATTGTAACACACGGCTTAGGCTTCTTTATTTGTTAAATACAAACCAACAATTCAATTTCGACTGATCACAGCATTGTCAACATTGTTTTCAGGTTTTAATTTCTTGGAGTCAGATACTAAATTAAAGTTTGAACTGAGTTGAGCTGTATTCCACAGCAGATTTTGATGTACATGTATGTATTTAAAAATGCGCATACCATGTTGTTGACAACAGCTTTTGTTGACATTATCAGAGTAGTTTTCGTCTCTAAATCAGAGCCATTTTCGTGATTCAAGCAAATGAATTGAAGGTCTATATGGGCTGTGATGTCGTTTTTTCTATCTGAAAGCCGTCGAGAAATACAGAATTTTATACTCTCTGTTCTTTAATAAGAAGAGAAACTAAATAACGAACGTGCAGCGTTCGCTACTTTTTTCCATTGCGACAGAACAAAATTAAGCTTTGAAAAATGTTGATGGTCACAGGTGACTGAACTAGCGAGTTTCTGCGTTTGCGGCTAGATTGTAACTAGATTTTTAATGTGCGGATATTCCAATTAACCATTAATAATTCCCACTTGTACAGCGCAATAAGATGACTCGATATTAAATGTTTTTTAGATCTGTTTTCAAATGTAAATCGAATGCAATTATACCATAAACAGTTTTTCTTTGGCGTTAAGGGCGCAACAAAGGCAACATACTTTAGCAAGAATTGAAGAGAGCAGCTAATTAGATCATCTCTATAATCCTAAGTTTCTGGGCTGACATTTGCAACGTATGTATATGGAATGTTTTGCATTTTTGTGTTAATATTTTTGTTGGCCTTTATTTTAAGGTAGCGATATTTGTTAAAGAACAAGGATTCAATGAGTTGTTTTCGTATCATTCAAAAAGAGGAGAAGAGATCCATCGCTTTGGTTTGTTTGACATTGCATTACAGCAGGAGCTAAGGTAACAGAATAAAAACCTTCATCCTATTGGACAAATCCGCGACTAAACAAGCCGTTCTACATGAATAGCAAATAACATTTTTTGTTAAAAAGATAAATAAGTGTACATAACAAATCCATTCTTTCACAAACTTGTTCTGACGAAAACTTTCCTAAACAAACAAAGGAAGTAACAAACAGTGTGGTCAGTAAGTCAAGGAAAGAGAACTCCTTGGAGAATTAAGTTTCTTAATTGGAGAATTTAACGATGTAAGTTTGCAATTCTATTGAATATTCTTAAATTTTCTCAAAGGTTTTTAAAAAAATGTTAAATCTAACGTTAATTTCTCTGTTCTACTGTTTAGCTTTGTGTTCACGCTCAGACGACCCAGAGGCTGAGTTTATTCAAAGGTAAATGATGTAGTGTTAACTGAGAAACATGCACCAATTTTTCAAAAATCGTACGTCACCAGATTTAGAGAAAATGGAAAAAAAAACTTTAAATTCGTACACCATAAACTATGGCCAGAGTAAACATACTGAAAAATTAGATCACTCGATTTTGAGTAAATTAGTTGGCGAGTTCTATCAACGACGGATAATTTAGCAGTATGAGATTTTAAATTTATCAAGAAGACTAAAGTAATGTTCATAAATAGACTCACTTCAAATGTTCTTTCAATATCTTTAGGGTGGTCAGGTTATTGTTTTGTCTAAAGAGAAAAATATATATCCGTTATAAATATTTTTCCGTTGTAAATTCACTTCGTTACCTTATCGTTACCGTTCACATTTTTGCTGTCTTTAACAATATAGGTTGAATTGATCATTTGTAAATTTTAACTGTTAGCAGAGAAATGACGTGTTTATTAACTGATAGCTGATCGAGATCTGAGATCTTCAAAATTGATTCATAGCTGAGAAACATTCTGAAGAATAAATTGAAAAGAACCCCCAGAGCCCTCATTGAGGCCTTAAAAATAGTGCGGATGTACAAAACTACGATTCAATTACCAGACAGTCTCATTTTAGCCCGTAGAAAACAATCTAATCGTAAAGTACACTAAACTCAACAGAAACAAAATTCGCAAGTTTTTGAGCCAAACTTCTGTGAGAAACATTGTGTACACTTCAGTGAGCCAAGATTAAACACAAAGACGTTGTACTTCATAATAAAACACTCATCTTAATTTAAACTTTGGAACAAGAACTGCGTTTCCTACAAATTGTGATAATTTATTTCATTTTAGAGTAAAACAGACGTACGCCAAACAGAAGAAATTAGAAAATTGTCCAGAGTCTCTATTTGGACTTTGTTTCATTTCAGGCGCATGTGTTAAAACCTTTTATTATTTCATCAGGACTTGACTTCGGAGTGTAAAAAGGATTCTTTTTGTTATCCGAATTTTTTTATCAGAGTAGAGTTGCGTTTCGGCTGAAAAAAAAAACTATTGTGGAATTGCATCGAAAAAAGGAAAACAGGAACAACTGTAACTCGCACTCATTCGTGAAAAAAGAACTATAAACAAATAAAGTGATTGAGCAAATGCAACTGAAATTATAACACGTCTTCTCACTGGACAGACAGCAGAAAGCAAACAGTTTTAGCGAACAGCTTTGCTTGTTTAAATGAAAATTAGAATTGTTCTTTGCATGCCGTTTCACAAAACTTGATCTTATGCGAACCTCACACCGACAAACAAAGCAGCGAATTTTGCCCGACTAACAAACAAGGAGTTCATCTTAGTTCTGAACGGCTAGGAGAAAGGACTGTATAAGTTTAAGATGTAAGCTGATTATTGTTTGGATTTTTTCCTTGTTTTAACATTGTTCAATGTAACACTCGTTCTTCTCTTTCCTGTTTAGCTTTTTGTCCCATTCAGACGACACACTGGCACTGAGTTGCTTCAAAGGTAAGTGACTGCATTCATTGCACGTCTCGCTAGAGCAATCATGTTTTAGCTTTTAATTCATTTCTCCAAAACCAGCGTAATATAAATTAT